TACGCATGTGTATCGATACCGTAACTGATATACTATCCAGCTTTTATTGACGATGGATCAATAGAGACTGAGTTCATTGATACACGTGATAATTACACCGGATTTGATAATTACAGAGATCAAATACAAATGTTTTACACAATGCTCATGTACATTGCATAGAAAACTGACAATTCAAATCAACATGAAACTTTCAACAGCTTCAACAAAAATGCCTTTGTATGGTTTACATGTTATAACTTATGATATTACTTCTGTCTATGTCTAAGAATTTTTGAATTACCAACTTACTGTCTTTTGTAACAAACGTAGTAAAAGATTTCATTGTTGTAATAACAATGATATGTATTATATTCGATGCAAAGGCGCAATATCACTATATATTCGATTAGGTAACATTATCAACTTTAGATTATGGAAAATAAGTAGGCTTTAAATTAGTAAGTTGAATTATGTCTATTCTATTAGAGCTTGGTTGTATAATTATTTGTGTTTATACATTATGTTTCATTATATGAAACATGACAACGTAATAATATCTAAAAAGTAAATTCAAACTATTCTATTGTGTTTGAATTCTTTGTATGTCCTTGAAATTTCGTATATTGTTTCCTATTTATTAGGAAGTTGAAGAAAATATGATCTTCGGTAACCTCTAAACCATTACATCTAATTCAATCGATGTATTTTAGTATCCATTCCCAATGAAGAGTACGAGACACTTACCTCTGTAAAAACATCATAATCCCCTTTCTCGACGACATGTGTTCATTTGCCAAACGCTGTATAAGCCTATGTTATGATTAGCAATTGCTATCAAAACACTTTAAATACTGATTGACACTAAAGGTAGCATCTCTCGTAAGAAAAGGTAACATTTGCTCAGTACTACTAATTTGGTTGAAATAATAGGTACAGTGTGATTTTTAAAAGTGCAACACACATGTGCGTCTCTCGCTGAATAAGAGGTGCTTTCTATTGACGAATATATGTGGCTCTCGCTGTGAGAAACTCCCAATTACCGGCCCCATAAACACGTCACTCGCTGTGAGGAGCTGATTAATTTGCCCCATATACGCGGCTCTCAGCCTTAATGAGTTAAGGAAGGTTCTCTAAGATTTCAGGGGGATGGATTGGTGGGCTTTCATTTCAAGTGTTAGAGTTAGTGTTTTAGGAATTATTACCATTGTTGATAATAATGATAAAAATTCTTACAGATCCATCCCTTTAACACGCTGTTGACAAATCCCACATCAGGCTGGCCCAGAGTACCCCCAATCTAATTGAGTAAGACAACCATAAATGACACAAAATCCAAATGATAACTGATAAGATAATAAAGAAGACCTGCAGTTGGTTGTTGTAACAATACTCAAGAACCTTTCTTGCTACTGTCCTAATTATTATTATGGACTACGACTTTCCGGTTAACGGTACTTCTCATGACATCATATCATAAGGACATCACTTACTGTTTATATCATTTCTGAAACAAAGCCAGATCCCTAACTAGATCGAGTCTGGACCAGACAATCCAGTGATTGACATCAGGAAAATCGATCTATGCAGTTGGGATACAATGTCTTCTCTATCAGGCAACTCATTCCCCACCCTACCCCCCAGGAATAGGGTAGACTGGGCTACAATCAGAGACCCAAACCACGTAGTTCTCAAAAATCCTGGGTGACATCCCTCAGACAGAATGATGTAAAGGTGTTAGAAAACACTCACTGGCAAGCTGACATGATCAAATCCAGTGAAATGTTCTTCCATATTGCTAAGGACAAAGCAAGGGCTCTTAGTTTGTGTGGATGTAACAGAGGTATTCGTAAATGGTAGCTCAATGAAGATGAATACTTGTGTAGGTTTTCAGGGATTTTTTCCGGAACTGGTAGCATGGTAGCACTGGTAGCATGGCTGAACTATAACAAACCGCCCTCATCTCAGCGACGCAGGCAGAATAAGCCAACAGCTAGTGTGAACATATGATTCTCAGTGAACCCAATATTGTGCTGAAGTTGTGCTGTGATTGTGCTTTCAAGGAGAAAGATGTAGACTGCCCCAAGTGAAAGGCAGTGGAAAGCTTTAAATATGACAAGAAGGTGAAATCTATGAAACAATGGAAACCTTTACAACAGGCCAATGTAGAGCTTGAACCTGACACAGATCACTTAACCAAGTAACAATAGCAGCTGCAACTAGCTTACCAGTGAATTAGTTAAACAGTGCAAGTGTTAGTGTTAACACAGGTCAGTTTGGAATGATAAAGTTTTATACCTAAGTTTAAAATAATGAAGTTTAACACATTAAAATGACACAATTATTTACACACTGTTACATTCTCCTCTCCCAAGGAAAATATCGTCTCGATATTACAGTCAGTCCGTGGAGCTAGTCACAAGATCTAGCATGGCTCTGTATGCATCTTTCGGCAGGTTCTGCAGGAATCCATCTTCTGCCAAGTTCTTAAAAAAAATAGCTCGCTGTTGCCAGTCATCTTCTGCTGATGTTGTTGGAACTTGGCTCATGCAATACTCTCCGCTGGTCTGCCAAGATGGAGGCTGATGTCGTCTTTCCGAACGTCTAGGCGGTGGAGTTGGTACAACTCTCCTGGGACGTCGATGTGGGGCTATGTTCTGTTCCTCATGTTCTTCATGTTCCTCAATCGCTGGTTGGGAACTTTCATCAGCTGTGGGCTCACCTACTGTTCCATCCTCCTGAACCATGCTAACAGTTGAATCTTCTGATTCTTCTGGTCCATTGGGAACTTCATCTTCAGGCGGTGGATCAGCATCTGTTAGAACACTGGTCACTGAAGATTCTTTGGCGAGTTCAACAGGGATCCTGTCAGTGGTGTAGTAGACAAAGGCAAACACTGACAAATCCCATTTTGTTGTCATGCATTGTTTTGGGATATCCTCTACTTACTCAAAAGGAACAGAGCATACTGGTAAGTACCAGGTCATTACCAATAAGAATCCCATTTTGGTGAGGGTAGAAGCCTAAGCCAAAATATATTCTTCTATGGTGCCAAGCAAAAGATCTTTTCTAAGATGGAGTAGAGAGTCCAGAATTATTGCCACTGCTATTAGCTGTTCCTCTCCACTGCTGGAATTGGTTCCACCTAAAGTCATACAAGACTGACTAAGTGCTTGTAACAGCTGAGTAAATGAACATGAACTAACTGTTGGTAAGTGGTCATTGAGCAAAGTTGCAAACAGATGTATGTGAGGTTGCTCCCACGTGTACGCTGTTTTTCTGAAGGGATCTGGATTAATTCTGTCCCATTCTGTGGATAGAATCTTGCCCAGAGAAGAGCATCTGCAAGGACATCAATCTTTCCTGGTATGTGTCTGGCAGTAATGTTGCAATCTACATTATCCATTAGATCATAAAGTTCTCTAATGAAATCCATGAGGAACTCACAGTGAGTTCCCCCGAGCCTGTTGATGTAAGCTGCTACCATGGAATTGTCCGCTGCAACAAATGTGGAAAAGATCCCCTGGTTTAGCTCCGATGCTGGATACCTAGGAGAACTGCCTTCATCTCCATAATAATAAGGTGGACTGGAAAGTCTAACATACAGAGACCTGATTCTGTCTTGTCTTAGAGATCAGCATCCCATCTTGTGAGTGATGTGTCTGTCAAGAGGTGGCGAATTAGCTGTGGCATCCTGATTGGAGTCCCATGGATGACGTCAGGAATATTCAACCATGCAATGTCCTTGACCATTAGCGTCATAGGTGCTATGACAGCCGTAGCTGTATCCCTCTATGCTGATTGGTCCAATAATGAATGTACCTTAGATGCAGATGGCCTCTGGTTGTAAGATCCTGCTTGAAAATCATTGATATCCAGAGCATATTTTTCAAAAGCTACTGGTGACAGGGGCTGACATACCTTGCAGTAGGAGATAAAGGAGCATGAGTTTTAACACATTTCCAACAATCAAGAGAAAGCCAAACCTTAGAAACTGTTCTGAAACGTTTTCAGAGAACAAATATACACATGCATACATGTGAGCCACAGGAAAATTTATGTTTTTCTCGCTTCTGTTAGTGTAGATAACTCCCGCAGATAGCTCTTAAAACTCCTGCAGATAGCTCAGTTAGCTCTTAAAACTCCTGCAGATAGCTCTTAAAACTCCTGCAGATAGCTCAGTTAGCTCTTAAAACTCCTGCAGATAGCTCTTAAAACTCCTGCAGATAGCTCTTAAAACTCCTGCAGATAGCTCTTAAAACTCCTGCAGATAGCTCAGTTAGCTCTTAAAACTCCTGCAGATAGCTCAGTTAGCTCTTAAAACTCCTGCAGATAGCTCTTAAAAAGAACACTAGGAAGAAAGACAACACAAAACCTTGGATTCTATTTGGGCAGAACCTGCGGATTAACAATGATGGTACCCTTTGTATCCAAGAACATGGGAAGCCATAACCTTTCCAGTTGTTGGGACAGTCTTTACTTCATAAGAGGTAGTGATGCAAACTGTGTCAAATTGTTTGATTGTACTTTGGACTGGACAGTGATAAATTAGGTTGATTTGATGGCCACAAATTGATGCAAGAACCTATCTGTATGAGCTTCAAACAGAGTTACATTATCACGAAACATATTGTGTCTGGTGCATTTCTGATCACGTCAGACAGTTTGAAACTCTATGAATGGATAATTTCTTCATTGCTATAGATTCCATGATAACAAAATGTACTCTCTCCAGGGACATGCCCACTCAACCAACAATAGTCCTGGTGTTGCGGACATGAAAGTCCTTTGTGGACAGAGGTTGTCTACAAGACTGTCCATGCCCATCCTCGTTTATCTACAGGGTATATGTTCCAGTAAATCTCCACTAGTACCCTGGATGCATCTAATTGGCTTTTTTTTCCAATCAGGTGTCTACACTGGGAAGTTGAGCATACCAATCACAACGCTTCTATCATAACTCACTTTCACTTCTTTTATCTAACCGATTAAACTTGGCAAGACAATTGTTGCAGAGGTGCCCTGAAAGAGGTAGAAGATGTTCTTGAAATATATTTTTTTAAGGTTTCAGACCTGTCAATTTGTCTGTATGATTTTTTTCCTAAATCTGAGTCGCATAGTGAGCAAACCTGCCTGGCTATCTTTGTTGACACTGGCAAGCTCAGTTGTAACGGCTTATCTGATAGGCTACTGTGAGAAGGTGGAGCCAGCCTGACCTTCCAGCTTGATGTACTCATGGATGGCTTTTGGTGTTCTGCAAGTTTGTCCAATTTTTCAAAGATCACAGAGCCCTGCTTATTTTCCTTACCTGTCATGGAGAAACAAGTTTTTCAGCTCACTCAAGTTTTTCTGGATATACATCTATGACATGTTCTGTCCACAGCAGATTTCCCTAACTGTATATTCCTCCTATGTGAGGATTGGAACTATCAATCAGCCCTCTTGCATCTGGTGATTTGAGTAAAAACTACCATGTGATGGTAGTGGAGATAGTATCACATACAGTGGAAACCTGATAAGTAAAATTTCAAGGGACTCGCCAAAATTGTTTACTTATCAGGTATTTTACTTATCCAAACTTATAAAAACCTGCAAATGACAACCATAGGCATGAAAATGTATGCATGTGTAACAATGAACAACTTATCAGGGCTGGCCTCCAGTTGTTAGTGTATTGTCATCTGCTTGACGCCAGCGAGCTGTAAGTAGGATGTTTGTTTGACTGGAGACTGACACGACTGCCCCTCATGTCGGATTATGGTAGTGTCGCTAATTTAGTTATCCAGTATCTTTTGTTAAGTAATTTAGTTCCAGGGACCGTGAGAAGACGTTTAGTTAAGCGGTATTGTTTACTTATCCGAGTTTAGTTAACAGGACTCTAATAGTGATGATTAATGAAGAAATTTGCCGGGACCAAAGAAAAGTGTTTACTTATCAGGTTTGTTTAGTTAAGCGGTCTTTACTTAGGCGGTTTCCACTGTACTTTATCCACTTAGTACTCCTATGGCTGTAAGAAGAACTGACCCATCTACACAGGCAGTATAGACATTGTACATTTGCTTAAGCACTAAAATCTAAAATGCCTATTTTTTAATATGACATTAAAAGAGTAAATTCCATACAAATTTATTGACATGAGAAACTCTTGATTCAATCAGTGCATCATTTAAATCAAGAAAGGTATGTTAAAGCATAGAGCAGCTTGTATCGAGTGCAAACTTAATGAGAGCACTCAATGGAGGTGCTTCCACTGTATAGACGATTCCCATCGGCACAAAAATTAAAATATTCAAATACGTGATAAAAGCTTTCTTTCTACAATCATGCCTAACGTGGGCCTGTGAGACTAATGTGATGTGAAATAAAACAGTTTGATTTTAGGCTGACATTTGACATTTTAATGTGGAAGTCAAAACCTCCCTGAAACAAGAAACATTACTTTCATTTAAAAAACCCACAAAAACATATATAACTCCATACTAACCTGCTATTTCAGTGAAGAGACTGTAAACCATAGTGTTATGAGAGGCAGATTCTCTGGAAGGCCTGTCTTCAACTGCTATGTAGATTAGCCTCATGATGAGCATATAATATCCAGATAGATGCAGAGAGAACATCAACAGATTCAGCATGTCCAGACCAAATAAAGGTGAGGTGAGGTGAAACGGGGTTTAACGTTGCACTTAGGAATATTTCGCTCATATGACGATGTACATAAGTGTGTATGGCTGCTTGTACTAGCCCAGACTTAAGCTGGTTTTATAGCGCTAGCTCACTGAGATACCATGCCGCAGTTAAGCATGAATACCCCACTCAGACACATTATACTGACTCCGAGCCGACCAGTCCTTGTTGTACCCATTAATGCAGAACGTCAGGCAGCGACCAACAAGTACCATATTATAACGCCTTTTGGTATGATGTGGCCGGGGGGCCCGGGGCTCGAACCTGCGACCTTCCACTCTTCAGGCGGACCCTCTAACCACTAAACCAACGCTCTAACCACTAAACCACTGAGGTGGTTCAAGTTCAAATAAACACTGGTGGAGGTGTGAAGAATGAGGTTTAAACATATTAATTTCATAAAGAAAACAAAACAACAAATTCATGAACTGGATTGGTCAACAAGCTCAAAAGAAGACTGCTCCAATATGAATATTTTTAGCTCTGGGACTTAAGGCAAATTGGAAATCATTGAGGTCTGTAAGAGATTAAATATTTTGCTGTCTTAAAGTGTCCCCTGGTAGGACACTGGGTGATGGTGTAGGTGTGGAGAGGAGAATGTGTTCCCTGGTAGGACACTGCTGTAGGTGTGGAGAGGAGAGGGGAAAGCGTTGCCTGGTAGAACACTGGTGTAGGTGTGGAGGGAAGGGGAAAGTGTTGACTGGTAGGACACTGGTGTAGGTGTGGAGAGGGGAAAGTGTTCCCTGGTAGGACACTGGTGTAGGTGTGGAGAGGGGAGGGGAAAGTGTTGACTGGTAGGACACTGGTGTAGGTGTGGAGAGGAGAGGGGAAAGCATTGCCTGGTAGGACACTGGTGTAGGTGTGGAGATGGGAAAGTGTTGCCTGGTAGGACACTGGTGTAGGTGTGGAGAGGAGAGGGGAAAGTGTTCCCTGGTAGGACACTGGTGTAGGTGTGGAGAGGGAGGGGAAAGTGTTGACTGGTAGGACACTGGTGTAGGTGTGGAGAGGGAGGGGAAAGTGTTCCCTGGTAGGACACTGGTGTAGGTGTGGAGAGGAGAGGGGAAAGCATTGCCTGGTAGGACACTGGTGTAGGTGTGGAGATGGGAAAGTGTTGCCTGGTAGGACACTGGTGTAGGTGTGGAGAGGAGAGGGGAAAGTGTTCCCTGGTAGGCGATGGTGTAGGTGTGGAGAGGAGAAAGCGTTGCCTGGTAGGACACTGGTGTAGGTGTGGAGAGGGGAGGGGAAAGTGTTGCCTGGTAGGACACTGGTGTAGGTGTGGAGATGGGAAAGTGTTGCCTGGTAGGACACTGGGTGTAGGTGTGGGAGAGAGAGAGGGAAAAGTGTTCCCTGGTAGGCCATGGTGTAGGTGTGGAGAGGAGAAAGCGTTGCCTGGTAGGACACTGGTGTAGGTGTGGAGAGGGGAGGGGAAAGTGTTGCCTGGTAGGACACTGGTGTAGGTGTGGAGAGGGGAAAGTGTTGCCTGGTAGGACACTGGTGTAGGTGTAGGGAGGGGAAAGTGTTGCCTGGTAGGACACTGGTGTAGGTGTAGGGAGGGGAAAGTGTTGTCTGGTAGGACACTGGTATAGGTGTGGAGATTGGAAAGTGTTGCCTGGTAGGACACTGGTGTAGGTGTAGGGAGGGGAAAGTGTTGTCTGGTAGGACACTGGTGTAGATGTGGAGAGGGGAAAGTGTTGCCTGGTAGGACCCTGGTGTGGTGGTGGGAGGGGAAAGCATTGCCTGGTAGGACACTGGTGTAGATGTGGAGAGGGGAAAGTGTTGCCTGGTAGGACACTGGTGTAGGTGTAGGGAGGGGAAAGTGTTGTCTGGTAGGACACTGGTGTAGATGTGGAAAGGGGAAAGTGTTGCCTGGTAGGACACTGGTGTAGGTGTAGGGAGGGGAAAGCATTGCCTGGCAGGACACTGGTGTAGGTGTGGAGAGGGGAAAGTGTTCCCTGGTAGGACACTGGTGTAGATGTGGAGAGGGGAAAGTGTTGCCTGGTAGGACACTGGTGTAGGTGTAGGGAGGGGAAAGCATTGCCTGGTAGGACACTGGTGTAGATGTGGAGAGGGGAAAGTGTTGCCTGGTAGGACACTGGTGTAAGTGTAGGGAGGGGAAAGTGTTGTCTGGTAGGACACTGGAGTAGGTGTGGAGAGGGGAGGGGAAAGTGTTTCCTGGTAGGACACTGGTGTAGGTGTGGAGATGGTAAAGTGTTGTCTGGTAGGACACTGGTGTAGGTGTGGAGAGGAGAGGGGAAAGTGTTGCCTGGTATGACACTGGTGTAGGTGTTGAAAGGGGAAAGCATTGCCTTGTAGGACACTGATTGATTGACGAATGTGGAGAAATTATGGCATAACAACAGTTAAACAATGTTATTTAATTGTCAGGAGTAATCAAATATTGGTCAAATGTTTGTCTCTGATATACAACCTTTTTTTAATCTGGTATGAAAATCAATATGTAATTTTTAGAGTAAAATTGATATTTTATACTTATCCTGACTCATGCTCTTTTGCTTGTCTTCTTCTTCTTGCGAACATAGTGGAACACTTGTATCTCCTTATTTGAAGCTCCCTTCAAAATAAAATCACTAATTGGTACTCACCACGAGTTGCTCCCCTTTGCTTCCCCTGGCGGGAAAGGTGTCGCCACCCTCTGGCCATGTGCTCCACTCTCTCCTGATTTAGCGAGCCCAACACTTGAATTTACAGGAAATCCAAAGTGTTATGTGGGGAGGATGGGAGGGCTAACCTCATGAGTCAGGATAAGTATAAAATATCAATTTTACTCTAAAAATTACATATTTTTTCCTTATCCTGACTCATGCTCTTTTGCTTGTAGCATCCTCACGGAACGGAGGTGGGTAACATAATACTTTGGATTTATAATTAGTGATTTTGTATAGATATACTGTAATATCCCTCACGGGAACTTCATGAAGGCTTAGATTTAGGATGTTTCCTGTATAAAAGAAACCATAGGTTATATAAAGCCATTAAAGGGAATTACATTATGAATATATTGAACAATACATATAAATTATATATATATATATAGGTGACTCTGATAGAGGCACTGAAATTGACTATACCAAAGTATATGCTTAAGGTTGAATACTTAAGCTGAACATATATACATAGCCCTAAAACTCCATTAGAGTTATAAGCTAGATGAGTATGTATAAAATACATATTAATCTTGTGAGGATAATATTTTAGCCTCTACGAGGGACTGTCAGTTGCTGGCGAGGACCAGTGGTCGAAATGGTGAATGCCAGAGACATCTTCTGTAGTGATGTCTCTCAGGTAGTGATTAGCAAATACCATGTTAGATTTCCAATAGCATCCTTCCATAATCGTGTTCAAGGAACAGTTACCGTGTAGAGGCGAGGGTAGAGGCCAGTGCCCTGATCTCATGTGGATTTGATGCTGTTGGTGGGTTCAAGCCTGCTGCCTTGTAGGCACGGAGAATGACAGTCCTTATCCAAATAGATATTGTGGTCCATTGACACTTCTGTTTGATTAAGTAG